AATATGGTGGAGAAGATCTCAGGTTTCTGAAACCTATTAGGTGGATAACCTACACCCTAGAGATTCAAAAGACCCAGAAAGACCACACCTCGATGAACAACTTGTCCCGATGACCTTGGGAAGGAAGCTTGACCAGATTACATATGTAGGTTCCAATATTTTCCCTCATATTAAAAATAAGGTGGAGAAGATCTTGTAAGAGAATGTAGATGTCTTTGCTTGGAGTCATGAAGACATGCCAAGCATAGATCCACAGGTGATAGTCCATAGGCTTAATATGGATCCCTCGTTCAAGCCAGTAAAGTAGAAGAAGAGAGATTTTTCCCCTTAAAGGGCCAAGGCAATCTCTGAGGAAGTGCTGAAACTCCTATAAGGTCAGTTTCGAAAGTCCACTATCCAAAATGGATAGCCAAAATTGTACTCGTAAAGAAACACAATAGAAAATGGAGGCTTTACATAGATTTAACGGACCTAAATAAGGCGTGCCCAAAGGACTGTTTTCCATTTCCAAAGAATGAGCACTTGGTGGATGCAACATCAGGTTTCTAGCTTCTCAGCTTTATGGATGCATTATCAGGATATAATCAGATTTGTATGCACTTAGACAACCAAGAGATGACCTCATTCATCATGAAGCAAGGGCTATATTGTTACCAGGTGATTCCCTTTGGCCTAAAGAATACTAGCACCACTTGTCAACTTCTATTCATTCACATTTTCAAGAACCTTATTGGGAAGAGCATGGAGGTCTATATTGATGACATGTTGGTTAAAAACCAAGCAGTTGAGGACCATGTAATCAAGTTATAGGAAGCTTTACAGTCCTAAGGAATTAGAAGATGAAGCTGAACCCTATGAAATGTGCTTTCGGGGGATCCTCTATAAACTTTTTGGGATTTATGGTGTCTCAAAGGAGAATTGAGGCAAAACTAGAAAAGATCCAAGCTCTGATGGAAATGGACCCACCTCAAAATATCAAGGAGATGTAGTTCCTCACTGGACGTGTTGTAGAACTTAATAGGTTTGTATCGCGAGCTAGAGATAAATCTTTGCCTTTCTTTAAGACGTTAAGAAATCTTTCGAACAGACACCAAAATGTGCGGCAGCTTTTGAAAAACTAAGGCACCCTCATTATTATCAGTGCCAGTTGAAAAAGAGGTTATGCACCTTTATCTAATAGTTTCGAGTGGAGCCACCAGTTTAGCCATGATAAAAGAAGAACAAAGAGTTTAGAAGCCAGTATACTATACCAGCAATGTTCTGAAAGGAGCAGAAGTCAAGTATTTGAGGCTAGCGAAAATAGCTTTGGCACTAATCTCTGTAGCGCGAAAGTTGCGCCCATACTTCCAAGCTCACCCAATCATTGTCATGACTGACTCTCCAATCTAGCAAGTTTTACATAAACCAAAAATCTCTAGAAGGCTCGCCAAATAGGCTATTGAGTTGGGTGAGTTCAATATAATTATCAGCTAAGAACAACAATCAATGGGCAAGCATTGACGGACTTTATTGTCTAAAATACCTTGTCCAAAGAATCCCAATTGTCAAACAACTTGGAACAAAAGAGTTGAATCCTCTTTACTGATGATTCATCAAATGCCAATAGAGGAGGGGTGGGAGTAATCCTGGTTTCCTCGGATCAACTCAAGACATAGTGTGCGTTGAGATTCGGGTTTGGAGCTTCAAATAATGAGGCAGAATACGATACTCTACTCGCTGGATTGAGGTTAGCATTTTCACATGGAGTAAAAAATCTCCTGGTAAAGGTAGATTTCCAACTAATTGTTAAATAAATCAAAGGAGAGTACACAACCAAAGATACTAGAACAACTGCATACTTTGCCAAGCTTGTCGGGTGTATATCCTATATAGAAGCCTTCAACATCAAGAAGATTCTCAGAGCTGAAAATGCTCATCTCAAGTCTTTAGCTTGCTTGGCTTTATCATTTCACAATGAGCTCCCAAGTGTAATCCTTGTGGAGCTCCTTCCCAAACCTAGCACCAACAAGGTCGAAGCAGAGGTCTATGTCGCCCAACAAGAAAAGGAGTGGAACTTTCTTATTGTTTAGTATTTAACAGATGGAGTAATCACTAGGGAGAGGACTGAGACACAGAAGTTCCACTGGAAAGCTTGAGTTTTATATAAAAGAGGTTTCTTCACTCCTTATTTACGTTATTTGGAAAAAGAGGAAGCTCAGTATATTCTTAGAGATATTCATGAAGGAGAATGTGAGAACCACATTGGGGGGAGAGCTTTAGCCTACAAAGCACTCTGCCAAGGGTATTATTGGCCAACCATGCAAAAGGATGCCATGTAGTTTATGAAAACTTGTGATAGTTATCAGAGTTTTGTCAACGTGTCAAAAAAACCTCCACAGGAGCTTTTTCCTATGACAAGTCCTTGGTCGTTTGACCAATAGGGCATTGACATAGTCGAACCTCTAATAGTCGGAAAGGGGCAGAATCGATTTGCGGATGTGGCAATCGATTACTTCACCAAATGGGCTGACATAGAAACCTTGACTACTATCACAAAGAAAAAACTTCGAGATTTATTTTGAAAGTCCATACTTTGTCGATTTGGGGTACCTCATATTTTGGTGTTGGATAATGGAAAGCAATTTGATAATGATCCATTCAAAGAATTCTGCTCCGAATATGGAGTTCGCAATCATTACTCCTCCTCGAGCCACCCGCAAGCTAATAGCCAAGCAGAGGTGACCATCAAAACACTCATGCAGTGAATCAAAATCCGCCTGAAAAAGTCAAACGGGTTATGCGTAGAGGAACTATCCCGAATCCTGTGGGCGTATCGCATGACAATCAGAACTTCAACAGGAGAAACACTATTCTGCCTATCCTACAGAACAAAGACAGTAATCCCAACCGAAATGGAGATGCAAACTTTCAGAGTCCAACATTGTAATGGAGAGGAAAATGAATAACAGTTTCGCACTAACCTTGATCTCGTGGAAGAAAGAAGGGAGTAATCTTAAATCAAACTGGCAACTTACTAGGCCCAAACAGCCTGTTACTACAACAGAAAGGTCAAGATCCACAAGTTTGCCGCAGGAGACTTGGTCCTGAAGAAGGGAACCCAAGACTCCAAGGATCCTAAGCAATGAAAGCTGGGTCAGAACTAGGAAGGGCCCCTATCAAGTTACTCAGATGACAAGGCTTGAAACTTATGAGCTGCATATGTTGAATGGAAGAAAGTTGACACATGCTTGGAATGCCGAACACCTTAAGAAGTACTATCAACGAGAATGTCTTTCTGAAAGCATAAATAAGGATGGTAGGTCATCTTTCTAACTTTGATTTATTTACTTTGTTTTGTAATAAGCCTTAAGACAAGCTTTTGTTATAAGAAGAGTTATCAATAAAGGAAGTTTGTTTTATCTCTTAAAAATCCTTTGTGTGAATCTCCTGTCAAAAACCACAAGAAAGCTTAATCATGAGGAAACTAGACTTTCAAAAAGAAGGCACCCTATTTAAAAGTTTGGAAAGAGAAGAGGACTTTTAAAGAAAGTTATATATATATATATATATATTNTCAGTATATTCTTAGAGATATTCATGAAGGAGAATGTGAGAACCACATTGGGGGGAGAGCTTTAGCCTACAAAGCACTCTGCCAAGGGTATTATTGGCCAACCATGCAAAAGGATGCCATGTAGTTTATGAAAACTTGTGATAGTTATCAGAGTTTTGTCAACGTGTCAAAAAAACCTCCACAGGAGCTTTTTCCTATGACAAGTCCTTGGTCGTTTGACCAATAGGGCATTGACATAGTCGAACCTCTAATAGTCGGAAAGGGGCAGAATCGATTTGCGGATGTGGCAATCGATTACTTCACCAAATGGGCTGACATAGAAACCTTGACTACTATCACAAAGAAAAAACTTCGAGATTTATTTTGAAAGTCCATACTTTGTCGATTTGGGGTACCTCATATTTTGGTGTTGGATAATGGAAAGCAATTTGATAATGATCCATTCAAAGAATTCTGCTCCGAATATGGAGTTCGCAATCATTACTCCTCCTCGAGCCACCCGCAAGCTAATAGCCAAGCAGAGGTGACCATCAAAACACTCATGCAGTGAATCAAAATCCGCCTGAAAAAGTCAAACGGGTTATGCGTAGAGGAACTATCCCGAATCCTGTGGGCGTATCGCATGACAATCAGAACTTCAACAGGAGAAACACTATTCTGCCTATCCTACAGAACAAAGACAGTAATCCCAACCGAAATGGAGATGCAAACTTTCAGAGTCCAACATTGTAATGGAGAGGAAAATGAATAACAGTTTCGCACTAACCTTGATCTCGTGGAAGAAAGAAGGGAGTAATCTTAAATCAAACTGGCAACTTACTAGGCCCAAACAGCCTGTTACTACAACAGAAAGGTCAAGATCCACAAGTTTGCCGCAGGAGACTTGGTCCTGAAGAAGGGAACCCAAGACTCCAAGGATCCTAAGCAATGAAAGCTGGGTCAGAACTAGGAAGGGCCCCTATCAAGTTACTCAGATGACAAGGCTTGAAACTTATGAGCTGCATATGTTGAATGGAAGAAAGTTGACACATGCTTGGAATGCCGAACACCTTAAGAAGTACTATCAACGAGAATGTCTTTCTGAAAGCATAAATAAGGATGGTAGGTCATCTTTCTAACTTTGATTTATTTACTTTGTTTTGTAATAAGCCTTAAGACAAGCTTTTGTTATAAGAAGAGTTATCAATAAAGGAAGTTTGTTTTATCTCTTAAAAATCCTTTGTGTGAATCTCCTGTCAAAAACCACAAGAAAGCTTAATCATGAGGAAACTAGACTTTCAAAAAGAAGGCACCCTATTTAAAAGTTTGGAAAGAGAAGAGGACTTTTAAAGAAAGTTATATATATATATATATATATTCAACAAGACAAAAATAGCCGAAGTAAGAGTAGTATAAAGAAAGAGCATTTTATAGAAACTATCAAGCTACTTTCATTACTGAGTAAAAAGTTTGTTTATAAAAAAAACTCAGAAGTTTAAAAAAAAAATAGAATAGAACAGTCTCTTATAAACCTAATTCTCGCCATTTTTTGGCGAGGAATCCTCTTTATCATAATCGCCTTCACCCTCCTCAACAAAAAGAATAGTAAGGGGGTAGCAAAGGAGGCAGCTGGGAGAGCAGTAGAAGTAGAAGCTGAGACAAAGGGGTCAAATTGGATGATGAAAAAATAAATACCGGGATAAAACGTAATAGCTTGCTGGTGAAAATTTTCAAAGCCAGCATCCCAATAGTTCATCCCAAGCTCAAAAAATTCAGAAGACTTCTTAAAATTCTCTACTGCCTTGTCAACATCAGTCTTCATGGCAGCTTTGACTTCATCATCCATGGAGGAAAGTTTATTGGTCATATCCTTCTCAGCTTTATTGGCCTTCTTGACATCTTCTTGGGTCTCGACAACGGTGATCCTTAAAAGACCTAGTTTCAAGCATAACCATTGTCATCTGAACATCTAATATAGCGTTAGTCTTCAATGGTTGACTATTGTGTATACCGGCATTAAATAAGGCGAGGCAATGGCCACCTTCCATTAAGTCCACTTAACTTTCCCCAAGGCGGTGGTTGAGTGCAGCAGGATGACAATCGATTTGTGTCAAGTGGATTTTTACCGTGTCACAGATCTACTATTTTAGTAAAATGATTGATTTAAACATGATATGATTAATTAATTTTGTTAAACATAATATGATTAATTAATCGTGTTAAAATGTCTGATCATGACCCTGGTTTATTACATGGACAACACTATAATGATGTGTTAAACAAATAAGGTGTGGTGGGTTGCACGAGTTAACTGGGCCAGAAATTAGCAAATTAATATAGGAAAAATTATACTTTGATTCCCTCAAGTATGATATTTTTTTCCTCAAGTATTATTAACGTCCGACACATATTCAATGGAAGTTTCTTTTGTTATGCTACCCGTCACCAATTTCTATCCAAAAGGATAGTTGACATTTGCGATTGAGGAAATATGAAATAATTCAAGTATTTTGGAGGACAACATAAAAAATTCAATAGTTTTAGGGACAAAGTAAAATCAGGTCCATAATTTAGGGGTTAAAGTGAAATTTACCCATTAATATAAAAGAAAACTTACGTGTTAAACAGGTTTCACTTTCACGGCTCATATTTTGTGTAATTTTTTATTGAGTCGTGTTGTATTTCCGTTTGGTTGTAAAATTGTTCATTCCAAGAACCCGACATGCTTGATATATCGGTTAATCATGTCAAGCTGTCGCTATGCCAACGTGATTACCTTCTTGTCAAAACCAACCGACTAAATGTAAGTGATTTGAATTATATTGATATATGAAAAAATGTTATATTATGCAAATGAAACTTAAAAATTAAAATTCAAATTCAAATGTATATTATTTTTTAAATGAATGTAGAATAAATTGATCCCACTGAAAAAATTGATAGAACTTATTTATCGAAGAGATGATATATATTTAAATTATAATTTTTTTTATTTTATTTGTGTTTTATATCATTGCTCTTAATAAATTGATTCGAAAAGTTATCACCCCAAAATTACAAGATGAAATAATCAAGATGGATAATGACACATACATATATATAATTTTTTTTTTTCAAGTTGCTTGAGTGTCTTACCGAAAAAACACATGTCAGGGTTTTCCACAATTAAGTGCATTAAACTTTGGGGCAAGTTCATTTAATTTTCAACAACCAATTAATGTGAGTTTGGTAGTTTCTCATCTGTGTAAGGCATCGGTTACTCAAAGCCGTCATAAAAGCCAATAATACAGCTGAGAGGTCTTCCTCAAAGCCAAACCTCAATTTATTGCTTTTCACCTCAACCACCTTTTCCAGCTATTCTCTATCTCACACTGTACAATGTATTAAATTGGACAAAGATCGTAACATTCCCAAACATTTTCAGAATACAGTCAACCCCAGTTCGAGAGGCGATTATCATCTTTTTTTATTCTATTGGGTTGATTCAAACCTGAGTTCTTAGTTTGAGCTGAGAATGTCGGAGTATACAGTGAAAGTTGAAGAAGCGAGACCGGCGACCGGAGAAAAGCCGTCGGCTGGACCAGTGTATAGGTGCATATACGCCAAAGATGGTCTCATGGAGTTGCCTGCCGGAATGGAGTCTCCCTGGGATTTCTTCAGGTATACGTGTTTATAGGGGTGTGTGTGTGAATGGCCATTTGGCCACCCTTTTAAGATTTTGGTAAAAGTGTAACATACGTCAAGGGAACTAAAGGTTTTGCTATTCCAAAGACCACCTACTTCTGAGGGGAAACTGTTTATGATAAAATTGTGTCTCACTGGCTATTGCATGTCTTTCAGACCTTTGTAACTTATAAGGGTTAGGGGCATGCAATGTCTTGAGAGGGTTTTTACCCCTAGGGATATGGATGAGACATGTCTAGTGGGTTTTGGGTTCTTAAAGTAATTGCATGAGTTTGTTCATATCAGTACATTTTATCTTATTTAAAATATTTTTAAAAATTGTTTGAATTTTCCGACGTGGACATATTTTCATTCCTGAAATATAATTGGGTGATGATGTACTTTTTTTTCTAATTGGAGAGAATTCTAACAGTAAGATAAAGTTTTTTTGGTGATAATAATGTTTCTTTGACATTTGTTCGTTGTCATTTTCTAATCGTAAGATAATTGAACTCATTTTCTAAGGCAAAAAAGTAAACCTGATTCATATTCTGTCAAACCTTTTTGTACTTCGCCTTCACCATTTTTGACAGTGAAATAGTGTTTTAAGATCTTGAATTTCTTTCCCTTTCCCTTTTCCTTTATTTACCTGTTCAAGAACACCAGATCATTGGCTGGTGATGACTCAACATTTTCAAAGTCACTTGCGGCAAGCTTACTTTGTCATGCTCAAAATTATGGATTTGGATACTTTGGAAAAGAAAAACAATTGGCAAAAGAAAAAACAGCTGGCCCATGCATGTCTCGAATTTGCTCTGCTCTGCCCAACGGAGCTAATAAGCCTGTTGCTTTAGGCTTCAAAGCTCACAAATTGACAAGGTCTTCGGAGCAAAATGGGCTAAACATACATGTGTATACAGTTATCAACAGTCATCACTGTGATTCATTATGAGATTTAGCAAAATGTTATGTCCTTGGGGTACTACATATAATAGAGTATCACACATAATAAACTAGCATTTTCTGTCTTTGGGATACTACAAATTGACAAGGTCTTTGGTGGTAGTACTTGGAATTTGGTTCAACCCAAGTTTGGAATTATAATACAGCATCATTCTCTATTTGGGGTAGTACAAATAATTTCATGGCTATGTTCAGTTTCTGCTGTAAAACTCTGTTCTTGATTGCAGCGAGTCCGTGAAAAGGAACCCTAAAAACCAAATGCTGGGTCGTCGTGAAACCATTGATGGAAAGGTACTTTGTGTTTTTTACAAAGTAGGTTCATACCCATGATCTCAATACATTTTTAAAATTTTAGATTATCTTTATTACACCTTCACACAATTTCATTCCATCATTTTTAATAAGAAATAACTTTGTTTTGCGTTAAAAAAAAAAAAGGTATTTTTACTATGCAAATGGGTAATTTGCTTTGTGCAATAGTTTTTTTACCTTGTTTCCGGACCATAACTGTATGAGTATGTTTGGTTTAGGAATTAAGGGGTGGATTGAATTAATTTAAACCGATAATAATATAATACTAAATTTGAATGAGGTTATAGCGACCGTATTAATTTTAATTAATTCCGACGCAGTTCATTATTGTCATTTAACACCTAATATTAGGTAGTAACAAATACCATACAATAGGTGATATTATTTTTAACAAATTAAGTATTAAAAATATAATGACTTTATTATCTTTACGAACTTTTAAAGTCACACTTTCATATAAAAGTTAAACATTTTGCAAATTCTTACCCTCAATATTTGTTTTGTCATTTTTAATTTAATATTATACACTATTATTTAATACAAACATAAATTTGATATTATAATTATAGAATTGTATATTATCCTAACCTTGATCCAATTACTATTTGTACCTAATTTAGTGACCTTATTTGATAATATGATATATCATAACCATTAAATTAATAATGAGTCATAATTAATAGTGAGATTCACTGTCAATCTAATGAAAGGGAATTATAAAGGTGACTTAATAAGATCCATGTAACATTGCTCATTATCTAATTCCATTCTTTATTTGTACTTAAATCAAATATGCCCCAAGTGTAAACGATTACGTTTATCTTGGGCATATTCACTTTTTATTTGGAGTTTAAGCTAAAAAACGGAACAATTACTGTTTTACTTATTAGTACTTCTGAAAGTCATTATCAAAGGGTGTCTATAATCTGTATGGATATGAGTCAGTCTTAGAGAGCCCATTGACTTTTTGGTATAAGATTGAGATAATTAAATGCTGGACTTGAATTGAATTCGCAGGTGGGTCCTTATACATGGCTCACATATGAAGAGGCTTATGATGCCACCCTTCGAATTGGATCTGCCATCAGAGGTCGCGGTGTCAATCCTGTAAGTACATTCTAGTAAGAACAAAATTATCTAAAAGTCATTAATCATGTAGTAACATATAATGACTTGTTTGTGGTTAGGGAGACCGGTGCGGCATCTATGGATCTAACAGCCCAGAATGGATAATGGCCATGGAGGTATTTCTTTAAATTTATGAGAAATTGCAAAAACCTTTCATATATATTTTTCGGACGCAGTAAACAACTTCCGTCGTCGTAGGCAACTTACCCAACCACCAAAATCAGTGAGAACTTTAATGTGGACCATTGAATTACATGTTTAGATGAAAACTCATTTTTAACCATTCTTTTGATTTTAGTTTTCTGTTAAACATTCACTAATTGTTTGCTCAATTTTTGACAGGCTTGTAACAGCCACTCCATAACATATGTACCACTATATGATACACTTGGTATGCTTTCCATTTTTCGTCATTAATAATTTCTGAAACTGTTCTTTTCAGTGGTACTACAAGAAATTCTGATCATTTGTGAGGTGGAATACGAAAAAAAAAAAATAGTGAATTTATATTAATTGTTCGGCTAATTATAATCGTTTTTTGTTCTACCTGCATTGCAGGTGCTAATGCAGTGGAGTTCATCATCAACCATGCTGAAGTTTCAATAGCTTTTGTTCAAGGAAGCAAGCTACCAGCTGTAAGTTCTCATTCTCTAGTTCAACCATGTCCTTTGCCTCTCTAAAATTCCGATTTCTGATCTTTAATGGCGACACTTGGTGCAGATCCTAACATGTCTCCCAAGGTGTATTTCCTTCCTGAAAAGTAGGTCAAAAAGCTCCTATGTGCGAGTGGCTATTTTGAATTACATTTCTTTTAGTAACTAAGATATGTGTCTTCCTTTTTCAAGCCATTGTCAGTTTTGATAAGATTTCTAGCATGCAAAAGAAAGAAGCTGAGGAACTTGGTGTGGCTTGCTTCTCTTGGGAAGAGTTCATTCAATTGGTAACTCAATATTGGCACTAACAGTCTTCCATATGGCTCAATTACCATGTATATCCAATCTTGATGGTCATCCGTGCGATCTCATTAGAATTATCTAATTCTTCTATTCCAGGGAAGTTCGGATGATGAACTTCCTCCAAAACAGAAGGCTCAGATATGCACAATCATGTATACTAGCGGAACAACAGGAGAACCAAAGGGTGTCACAATAACTAGTGGAGCATTCATGGCTGAGGTCTTGTCTATGGATCAACTACTCTTTGAAACAGACAAAGTGGTAAATATTCACTCCACTTGTAGTGTGGTTTCGAAAAGCTGAGAGATCTTAAATTTTTTTCTGAAGCATTCGCAATCATGTCCTGTTATACTGCTCCATTCAACCAGAGTAACTTCTTTTATCCATCTTAAATGTCTGCCTTTGTCAATTGCTTGTGTATGTTGTTCAGTCATATATTTTGCAATATTATCCAGATTCATATGACTAGGTTCAAGTCTGATGTAGAAATCCTGCTTAGTACATATGCAAAGCAGTTGCAAAACGGAAGAGTGTTTTGGAAAATTTTCTTTGGCGATTGCACGTTTTCTTGGTCAATGGCTCTGTTCCCAGCATCGTACTGTTAAAAGAACTCAATTTTGTCCTCCGGTCATAACTGGAGGCGAATGGAACAGAATCTGATTGCTTTATTATCATCTGATAACTATGTTATTTGATGGATTAATGTCATCCTATGCTCCTGGTTGTATCATGTGTACAATGCAATTTGTCTATAAACCAAAAATTTATTATGAACCAAATTTTGCTCAATAACTTGTAGTGTTCATAGTTCCAATGGCATTTCTCCATAAAATTAGCATCAAAGTCTCATGCTATTGAAAATAATTCTCTCATTAAAATTGCATTATTGATAATCGTCTCAGTTTAAGTGCTTCTGAGTAGATGGTATTTGACCACTGGAATGATGACTTAGTATTCACATTTTTTTTTTTTGGCTGCCCTTTGAGCCATATAGAAGCATTGCAAGAATATAACCAAATTTTCTTCATGTCACAGGGTTCAGAAGAAGATATTTACTTCTCATTCCTTCCTTTAGCTCATATATTTGATCAGATAATTGAGACCTATTGCATCTACAGGGGTTCATCCATAGGATTTTGGCGAGGCGTAAGATTCAGCTTCATAATACTATTTTTTTCTGCATGGGTCTAATCTCTTTGAGCCACCCATCAGTATTTGTTTCAACATAGTCCCTGCTTCTAAATTACAGGATGTCAGATATTTGATTGAGGACCTTATAGAATTGAAGCCAACTATATTTTGTGGGGTTCCTAGAGTTTTTGATCGTATATACACAGGTATATGGAAGTATAGAATCATTTGATATACACTTTCATAAATATTGCTTTCTCATTTCTTACACAGATGTTTGAAATTTCTTTTTTGAAGGTATAATGGATAAAATTTCAGCTGGAGGTGCCCTAAAGAAGACACTTTTTCAGTTTGCGTACAACTAGTATGTTTTACTTTGGATCTGTTGATTGTTCTAGCAATTTATGCATTTTTTTTCTTTGCTATCCTACTGTACAACTAAAGTGGAAGTCGCAACCAGCAAATTGAGTAATCTCGAAAAGGGACTGCAACAAGACAAAGCGGCTCCTCTTTTTGATAGGCTAGTCTTTGATAAGGTCAGAAAAATTGACCCATTGTTACAATGTAAGATGTATGCTTTTACTTTTAGTGACCTTTACTTTTACTGACCTTCACTTCAGATCAAGCAAGGATTTGGGGGACGTGTGCGTCTAATCTTATCTGGAGCTGCACCTTTGCCAAGGCATGTGGAGGAGTTTCTGAGGGTGACGTGCGGTGGTGTCTTATCACAAGGATATGGTATGGAAGAATGACTGAATGAGTACTTCACTATATGTTGGGTTTTCTATGAATTTTTCAAATCTATAATATTCTGCAACTGTTTGATTTAGACTTATATCACTTAACAGATTTACGTAACATATTATAGATGCAAAATTATTGAAAAAAAGACTCCTCTACACTTTTAGTTGTAATTCTAAAACATAGTTATGGAGATCATAACTACAATTATGGGACCTTGGTGTCAATTGAGCCAGAGAGACAACCCTTCCGAGAATAGGGGTTAAGGATGCTTACAATTGACCCTCCCATACCCCGCAGTTAGGGGGGGAGGGGGAGGGGTGGGCGTCGTGCAGTAGGCTTCCTTTTTTTAAGTTTTTAGATTACTACTAGAGCCTACAATTGAAATACCATGTTTCCATAATAATTTACCTTCATCTTACCTGACATTTGCAACTGGTTACAAGCAAAATTGCAGTGACCAGTGCAGGTCTGGCTTATTCCAAAATTTCTCCTATAAGCGTAACTCATCAAGCAACTGAATTAATTATTTTTTTCCATTTTGAGGTTTCGTCTATGTTAACATGCTGTTCCCTTCAATCTTATTTAAATGTCAGGTCTTACAGAAAGTTGTGGTGGATGTTTCACATCCATAGCCAATGTGTTCTCTATGACTGGAACAGTTGGTGTCCCCATGACAACTATTGAGGCAAGGCTGGAGTCAGTGCCAGAGATGGAATATGATGCACTTGCCACTATTCCGCGTGGTGAAATTTGTCTGAGGGGAAAGACCTTGTTTTCTAGTTACCACAAGCGACAAGATCTAACAGAAGACGTCCTAGTGGATGGATGGTTCCATACAGGTAGATATTCATAAATTAGATATTTACAAAGGATATTCAGCCAAGAAATTTATTGTCATGGGAACTATTTTGAGCTGCATTGTGGCTTCTTTTGATGGCCAACTTAAACTGTTTGTAGATGGAAGGGCTCCTCTTCCTCGGATAAGGGAACATTTAGAACTAGTTTAGTGGCTTATGTGTACTTGGTCACCTATGTGATCAGATAGTTTTTTGGACGATTAAATGTTTAATTTTGGTGCTATATATGCAATCTTCTATTCATAAGCTTGACCAATTTTGGGTGGGATTAGGTACATTTTGGGAGTTCATTTAACATAAGATTATGCATCCATCACAATTTGTACTGTTGCAGTATCTGCAATGCCTAAATGGAGAACCTGTTAATTCATGCATAAGCACTCATTGTACTTATCAGGGTTGCTGTAAAGCTCATCAAAAGAACTTGCTTGATGCTCCTTCCTTGAACTTCTTTTTCAAGAAGGCACCATAAGATTATTCAGATCTGTAAGAAGGCAGCATTTTACTTTTCTGCCAATATTTCATGTAGAAGTTGACCCGAGTTATTTTTCATAAATCATTGCAGGTGACATTGGGGAATGGCAACCTTGTGGAGCAATGAAAATCATCGACAGGAAAAAAAATATATTCAAGTTGTCTCAAGGAGAATATGTTTCTGTGGAAAACATTGAAAACACATATTCAAGATGCCCTTTAGTGACATCAGTATGTTATAAATAAACCACAGCATTAATACCGAATTTCACATATTGCAGACTGCAACCTTATATCTTTGATTGCTTAACAGAGGACACAAATTAAGTAAAAGAACCTGATATATATGTAGCTACACACATATATTGCAGGTAGTCAAACCTCTTTCGATGTTTTTTGACTCAATTTTCTTACCAGATTTGGGTGTATGGGAACAGTTTTGAGTCCTTTCTGGTGGCTGTGGTAGTTCCTGAAAGAAACACACTTGAAGAGTGGGCTGGAAATCATTCTCAAAGTGGAGATTTCAACTCCCTGTGCGAAAACCTGAAAGCAAGGAAATACATTTTAGATGAACTCAATTGCACTGGCCAGAAACACAAAGTATGTACATAAAATTCGCATGTCGCTTTTTTTAATTCTACACTTCACTTTGATTTTTGTCTGATCTGAATGGTACTTGCACAGCTTCGAGGTTTTGAAATGTTAAAAGCAATTCATTTGGAGCCAATTCCTTTTGACATTGAGAGGGACTTGATAACTCCAACATTTAAACTCAGAAGGCCGCAGTTGCTTAAGTACTACAAGGTATTTCATACGTTCCATTGTTTTCTTGATTGCCCAACCTGGCTCCCCTTATGTGTCAATTTCTGCTGAAAGTGATTGCCATCTTATTGTGGCTGTCAAAAGCTAGAACACTATATCCAATGTCCTAACCAGTGATCAAAATTCCTGCATAGTTTTTGTCGCTTCAATAATATTTCAAAAATAAAACCGAAACAAAGAAAGAATTAGGAACTTTTGATTCCAAAACATTCCGAAATATGGGATTTCAATTGTCCATCACTGATTCATTCTAGTTTCTAGGAAAACTGAAAAGTTTCAGTCTCCACCAAAGCCGAAAAGTTAATTAGAAATGAATTTTTTATCCTTGGTGCTAAACTAGTACCTCAAGTTGTAATAATAGTTATAATAGTTGTTTGAAAATGCCAAGCAAATTCTAATGTGCCCCTTGACCGTTATATAAAGCTGTTTACATTTTCATTTTCTCTCTTGGTTTACTTTTAAGGGATATGATATGCATTTCTGAATTCCATTCTATCAAATTCTGCAGGACATCATTGATCAGCTGTACAATGAAGCAAAGGCCTCGAAGGTGTGAAAGCAGTGCTTGATCTTAATATGAAGAACGGTGGCATGCTACCGAATATTTCATCATTCATACTTTTGGTGAACTTGTTAAGCAATATTGTCAATGATAACTTGAAGGCATAGACAAGATGAAACATGATTCTGAGCACATTACAATGCTTGGATTTGTTAATGATTTCATATAGTTAAAATTAAGGGGTACTTGTAAATTGCACCTCGAAAGATCTCTTGAATCTTAATTTGCACCCTTAACGATTAAAAATCTCAATTTACACCCTCAAAGATATAAATATGTATCAGTATACAACTGAATCTAACAGCTGTCAGTTGTCGTCTAAAAATAATAGGTAAATTACACTTACACTCTCTCAGTTAATCATTGGATCCCTCATATTTAAAATATTACACTTACACCCTCTGATGTTTGTGTGTGTGTAACGCATAATCCCATGTCATTAATATAACCGTTAAAAAATATGATGTTGTCTTAATAAACAACTACTCCCTCCATTCTTAAATATCTATTGTTTTAAATAATTATTTTTGTTCCATAATATCTGTCGTTTTATAAAACTAAAGCATAATTAATATTTTTTTTTTCAAATTTAGCCTTAACTTTTCATGCATTAGATTAGATAGAGGTTAAATGTCTTTCATATTTTTTTCTTTCCCAATACATATTGAATATGGGTATTTTAGTCTTGTGTAATTATTTTTTACTCATATTAAAGCTATTTAATAGTTTCCTTAATCCCTGTCAAAAACCTTTAACGACAGATATTTAGGAACGGAAGGAGTATAATTTTCATACTACCCTTTATTTTGTGGACCCGTTGTGCTCTAAAGTTCAAAATCAAGTTTATCCTTTGAATGCCCAATACAATGTAAGTATTATATAATATTCAAGATTACTAGTATTATATAATATTTTTTATATCCAATGCAATACATTACTTGAACAGAATTATTTGGAAGCCCAAATAGGGGAACACTTATAGTCATATTTGGAATCTCAGGGGGTGTAGGTGTAATATTTCAAACGTGAGGGGTCTACATGATTAAGTGACAAACATGAGAGGTCTATGTATAATTTATTCATTTAGTTTTAAACCGCAAACTGAACGACTATTAGCTTCAGGTGCACATTGATACAGAGTTATATCTTTGAGAATGCAAATTAAGATTTTTAATTTTTTAGGGTGCAAATTGAGATTCAAAAATTTTTTTGGCGTGCAATTTGTGATTAACTCTAAATTTAATGAAGTTCTGCCATTAAATCTATCATTTGGAATCAGAGATTCTACTTGACCACTAATCTTGCTTTTGCATTCGCTCCTATTGACATATAATAACACATAACATAATATGCAATGGGGTTCGATATACCTCTTGAAGAGCCCAAATTAAACAAGATTGTTACTTGTTGTTACAAGCCTGATGATGCCAAACTCAGATTTTTCCAAGCTTTCCTTCACACCCGAGTCTCGTACTAGGTTGAAGAAGTGGCTACTAGAATCCCTCTTGAATTCCTACACTCACAAGTACAATAGTGTATAGTGTTAACCCAAAGAGAATGACAACAGAGAGAGATAGAGAGAATATGCATAGAGAGAGTGTGTGTGTGTATTCCTTTGAATGACTTGGAAGTGCAAAAATTTGGGGTACAATTTTTCCTTTATGTTAATAGGTAGATGTACGTTCTAAGTAACCACCTAATCATGGGGTACCATGATCATCTCTGTTTAGAGGGGTAGTTTATTCTTGAAACTTCCACCAACCACCAATGTTGGGATCCATTTTTCCATGTAGGCAGATATGGATTCACGCCCAATGACCCATAACAATAGGAGTTCTATATTAGGTTAGCACCAAACTACAAATTACATCACTCGAAAGTATCTTGTACCCCAGACAATTCAATTACACCTGGTATAACACTTTTAATCCATCAAAATAGGCAATGCTAAAACCTAAATATGCAATGCGTTCCTACCTTTATCGAAAAACAAGTACTACTAGTCGCTTGGACTCGAATAATCAGCCCTAGCCTTTATGCCAATCCAAATAGACTCAACTAATTTCCTAGTCATGCCCCATGAGATTGCATCAATCATAATCCTATGGTACATGCTAAAGTAGCGACATTGAACATCCTCTTCATGATATAGTCACAGATCGATAAGGTATATGTAGCATAAGAATCCATAGGGTGCAAGCAATGTCAAATCAGGGATTTATTCATCACTCCCACTATTGATCGACTCTAAGCACATATAATATTAAACGTATGCTATGGAACTATCCTATAAACTAAAAAGGCGTGTCACATTTGAAAGAATAATTAAATGTCATATAGATCTTAGTCTAGTCGCCAATGAAACGCCTAAATTGAGTTTTCCAACCCAATCATTCTCCTAGAGCCTGAATAAAAACTCACATGCGGCTCTATGCAGGCTTCATAGAGTCATGGATATAACAACCCGGTTTTTAGAAAACGAAGATTAGGACAAGAGAGAATGAAAGAGCAATTAGGGGTTTGAAGTTCAGACAATTGGACCAGGAATCGACAGCTCCGAAGTATGTGCATGGGGTTTTGGTGATGTATAAGATGTTAGATTTGGGTTAGAAGTGTGACTAGTGAAGTGAAAGTGAGCAACAACGCGGATTCAAACGAAATAGGGTTATTGCGTATTGGAAAGTTAGGGGTGCGAGAATAAGATTCGAAGATGAAATTAAATGAATAATTTTATAGGGTTTTTTTTAATATGTAAGTAATTATAAAGAAAATAAAAAAATATTTAAAATTATTTTTTTGAATTTGGTGAAAATTACCAAACTGCCACTACCTGGTCAGCTCCTTGTGAGGTGCTTGCTAGCTGTTTTTGGAGCTCCTAGTCGCATGTCTTCCACCCAACTACTTGGGGGAAGACTTAGGATTTGCTAGTCGTTTGGATGAGAGAGAAACAACATAAAAGAGAGAGCGAGAGAAGACATAAGTTAGAGAGAAAGTGAGCTTGGAAAAATCCAAAAATTTGTAGGACTTGAATTCGAGCAACATTTAAATAACTTTTCAAATCAAACAATAAAGATTCAATTTATCAAATTAACACCAAAGTAACATTCAATTAATATTCAATTCATCAATTTTACACTAAGTAACATACAATTTTATTTAATTAATATTCAATTCATTAAATTAACATTTAATTTTATCTAATAAGCATTTAATTCATTGAATTAACATTCAAATTCAACTAGTTAACATTAAATTAATCAAATTAATTTTTAATTTTAGTCAATTAGCCCTCAATTCATCAATTTAACGCCAAAATTAACATTCAATTTATCTAATTTATATTCAAATTCATCTAATTAACACTCAAGTAATCAAATTAACATCCAAAATTATTTAATAAATATTCAATTTATCAAATCAACACCAAAGGAATATGCAATTTCATCTAATTAAAATTTAATTTATCAAATTAACATTCAATTCACCAAATTAATATTCAATTAATCAAATTAACATTCAACTTCATCTAATTAACATTCATTTTTTTCTAATAAGTATTTAATTCATTAAATTAACATTCAAATTCAACTAGTTAACATTTAATTAATCAATTTAACTTTCAATTTCATTGAATTAACACTCAATTCATTAAATTAACTTTCCAAATCAAACAATAAAGATTCAATTTATCAAACTAACACAAAAGTAACATACAATTTCATCTAATTAATATTAAATTCATAAATTTAACACCAAATTAACATTCAATTTTTATTTAATTAACATTAAATTTTATCTAATAAGCATTTAATTCATTAAATTAACAATCAAATTCAACTAGTTAACATTAAATTAGTCAAATTAACTTTTAATTTTATTCAATTAACACTCAATTCATCAAACTAATACTAAATTAACATTCAATTCATCTAATTTATATTCAAATTTATCCAATTAACACTCATTTAATTAGATTAACATCCAAAATTATTTATTAAATATTCAATTATGAAATCAACACCAAAGTAACATGCAATTTCATCCAATTAATATTTAATTCATCAAATTAACTAGTTAACATTAAATTTATCAAATAAACATTCAATTCATCCAATTAATATTAAATTCATAATAATTGACACTAAGTTAACATTCAACTCACCAAATTAATATTCAAATTCATCCAATTAACACTACAATCAAAATATTTACTTCAAAAATCATCCAATAAAGATCTAATCTATCAAATCAATACCAAATTAACATGTAATTTCATTCCATTAATATTTAATTTATCAAATTAACATTCAATTTTATGTATTAAATATTGAATTCATGAAATTAACATTCGAATTCAAATAGTTAATATCAAATTAACATTCAATTTACTCAAAGTAACAATCAAATTCAACTAGTTAACATTAAAATAACATTCATATTCAATGATAAATTGAATCTTTATTGAATGATTTTGGATGTTATGTTCCTAGGGTTTGCAGTTCTTTCCTTCTTCTCCAAGGGCCTTTATTGAGAGCTGAAAATGGTTCTCTCCAACGATATTGATTTGCTGAATCCTCCTGCCGAGCTCGAGAAGAGGAAGCACAAGCTCAAGCGCCTGGTGCAGTCGCCCAACTCCTTTTTCATGGACGTGAAGTGTCAGGGTTGTTTCAACATAACCACTATATTCAGTCACTCGCAAACAGTTGTGGTATGTGGGAACTGCCAGACGGTACTATGCCAGCCAACTGGCGGGAAAGCCCGACTTACAGAGGGATGTTCCTTTAGGAAGAAGGATGACTAATGATAATGATGGTAAACCCTAGTAAAAGTTTGTTTGTGTTTGGTGGCAAAGAAGAAATGAGGTGGTTTTGATGTTAACTTAAGGTTTTATATTTAATTTGTAATCATGTTCCCGTTATTACCAAGTTTTGGACATATATAACTGCATCTCATGTTTCTATTTAGTTTTTTTTTTTTGTATTGGATTGGAATTCTGTTTGAAAGCATAACTATTTTGTCCTCTTCTCTTCAAATTGGATTTTCATTCCTGAGTTTTGAATCAATCATTTTCATTGCCACCTAAAAAAAAAAAAAGAGAGTTAATTGGATGAATTTGGAATATAAATTGGATGAGTTGAATGGTAATTTAGTGATAATTTTGTTAATTAAACATTATTTGGATGAAATTAAAAGTTAATTTGATAAATTTAAAGTTAACTAATTAAATTTAAATGTTAATTTTATGAATTGAATGTTTATTATGTGAAATTTAATATTAATTTGATAAATTGAATAATAATTTGGTGTCCATTTGATTAAATAAATATTAATTGGATGAAATTGCATTTGACAAATTGAATCTTTATTGAATGATTTTTGAAGTAATTGTTTTTATTTAGTGTTAATTGGATGAATTTGAATATCAATTAAATACATTGAATGTTAATTTAGTGTTTATTATTATGAATTTAATATTATTTAGATGACTTGAATGTTTATTTGGCGTTAATTTGATGAATTGAATATTTAATTGGATTGAGTTGAATGTTAATTTGTTGAATTTAATATTAATTTTGTATTGATTTGATAAATTAAATATTTATTGGATAAAATTGAATATTAGTTTGGTGTTGATTTGATAAATTGAATGTTTATTGAATCTTTCAAATACAAATTGAATATTTTAGGGGCTAAATTAAAAAAACTGATACTTTACAAATCAAACTGACAAAACATGCAGATGATAAAAGTGTTTTTATTAGATTGGTCACAATTTTTGTCATGACCGATCCTGATTTGGATTCAAAGTCAATGACAGTAAAACGATCGGTAATGGTTGTAATGGATCGGTCCTAATTTAATGTAAATGAAAATTTTCAGTTATATTCTTTTTAATTTATCATATCTTCAAAGACACCCCTCTATTTTCTGGATCATCACTAACATCACTGGTCTATTAATAGTGTTAACTACTAGAATGCAATTTAGTAAATTACCTATGATATATTTTGGAAAAAATTCATTCATACCCCTCTAGATAAATATATCTTCAATAAGATCCCATATGTTTTCTAATTTTGTGTACACATTAAAATTTGGGTCAATTGAAATTCGATTCGAGCTAATTAAAATTTATTTTTATATATTAAAATTTGAGTTGATTAAAAATTATATTTTTATATATATTAAAATTCAATTCTATTTGATTAAAATTTTAAATCAGCTCGAATCAAATTTTAATCAAATGACATTGAATTTTAATCG